GTGTGTGTGTGCGCGCGCGCGCGCGCGCGCGCCAGAGCTCAGCGTTTCTGGGGGAGGAGAAGGAAGCCGAGGAACGTGGGAACGTGGCTTTCTACTCTGTGTGGCACGTTCCCTGGATGAGTTTTCCTGGCAGAGACAGAGAAACAGAGAGAGAGACAGAGAGAGAGAGAGAGAGAGAGAGAGAGAGGTGGAAAGAGAAGAATGCGCCCAAATAAATCATAAATAATCCCACCTTATTGCTGCCCGATTTTCCCTTATCGGAAACCATTCATGTTTGCAGTTGCTCAGGTTATTGAGGGTCGTAAAAAATGGATTCGATCTAAACAAGAAAGGAAAAAAAAAGCAGTACTGTAGAACCCGCAAGGAAGAGAAGATTCCTGGCCCCAGGAGATAAATTTCATAGCTATGCAAACACATGAACCCTGGAAATTTAAAAGAGTGCCTTTAAAATATCAAATTAAGTGTAGGCGGTGGTAACGTGCATGTTAACAATTTCTCTTATGATAGATGGTTCAAATTAACTTCCAGGAAAGTGTATTAATGTTGCCTTTGAAGAGCTCTGGTCTGAGCCTCTGAGAACACTGCTGGCCTTTTATTATTGTAACCTGCAAGAGGGAAACATAAACACGAGTAGGGCAGGTAATGGGGGGAAATATAAACAAAGTCAGAAAGGTGGGGAACAGAGCCACCCAGACTGAGTCTTGGGCCTTGCCCACTCTAAGGAGGTGAGCCATAGTTTTACCCCTGTTATAGGCACTATTGTTTTTAATTCCTACATTCGGAGGACAAATAAACCATTCTAATAAATCTATCCTAGAGCTAGGCCCTCCAAAGGCCAAATTAAAACCATTCTTGAGGAGAGATGGCAAAATCTCTTTCCCAAGGCCTTGTGGAACAGTAAGCAGTGGGATAATCTATCAATATTTCTTGGCTTTCATGCGTGAAGAATCGTATTTACATTGTATTAAAATGACTCTTAAATTTGCACAATATTGTAATGTAGCAAATGTAGTATTAATATCGATCTGAACAGCAGATAATTTATTTAGACAAGAGCATCTCATTTGTATGCAGGGTGGCCAGAGCCGTGGACTTGGACTGCCCCCCTTTCACTTTCAGTGCAAATGCAGGTCCGCTGGTGAGAGAGGGAGTTATTCTTTGCAAGAGGATAAACTGTGAACCTTAAAACAAATGGAAGATTTACTGAATAGCCTCCTCAGTGTGTGAATGCATTTTATCTTAATAAGTCTTCTTGATGGAAACGTGGTTTTCAAAAGTGACAAAGAGCCTGGGAAGCAGGGACCAGGCTGCTTCAGCTCTGGCAGGCCTGGGGCCTGGCTGGCTCTCTACCACCAGGCTCTTAAGCCAAATTCATCAGGAAGCAAGCCAGTGTCAGGGAAGCTGGGTTTTAAAATCTCATCCAGCGAGGTGTCTTGTAGCAGAAATGTGACTTGGAGCCGGACAGAGGTCTTCTCCAGGAAGGTCTCCCCTCCCTTTTCCTGGTCCCCTCTCAGGTTCTTTGAACCCCTTGACTTCGCTGATCTCATGCCCTTTCCCAGAGACAGGGAGAACTGTGCAGGCTGCAGGGAACATTGTGGAATTATGCATGCTTTTCTTTTAACTTTCCATCCTGAAACATTCCTGTGAAAGTGTTCCTTAAAAAAAAAAAAAAAATCAACCTAGAAGTTTTCCAAAGAAGTTTCTTGAACCAAGTCGTCAAAGTGCAAGAGGTCCCTAAAAGTGAACAATAACATTATGTTGTTGGATAAGTGCAAGCAGAATATCTGAAAATGGAAATAGAGCTGTCAGTAGTAATTCAGGCCCCCCTCCTCCATACAACACATTTCCACTTTTGACTAAACTTGTTTTGATTGCCAGCCAGAAGGGAATTCATGGGAAGCCTTCTCAAAGTCATCCAACTTTTAAGCAAACTTTGAATGATGGAAAAGACAGTTTTAGACATATTGTCCAACGTGGTTTGCTCTGGCTTAAGTATTTGAAGCTGGCACGGCTGTCCCCTGTGGTGGTTTTCACATTTGGCCTCCGGATGGTAGGTTTAATCCTTAATATTCTGGACAGCATCCAAGGACTAGGTCATGACCTGAACTTACTTTTAAAAAATTCATTAATTCATACACCTAAATATTCCTTCAAATAAATGAGACCGTCTTTGAAATGAACCATCTAGTTAACATAAATACAATAAATCCATTTTCAGCACAATAATAACTTTGATTTCTAGTTATGGCAGCTGATTACATCTATATTTCCTGAACACTAAACTCTTCTGAATGCACAACATGAAATACATTCTCTGCACTACAAAGGCTAAGCCAGGAGGGCCTGAGCAGTAATGGTTATTTATTTACATAATTTCTTTTCCATATACTTGGAAGAAATATTGAGGGTTCCCGCATTGACACTACCATATAAAAAGTGAGACATGGATTTTGCACATTCTCCCTCCTTTCCTTATCTGGAAAATAATTCCTGGACTGTAAATATGACCTGCATTATTGTACATCCATCCCCTCAGTTGACGTGAAAGCTCCCACCGTCTGTCCACAGTTGGGAGGCTCCTGTTGCAAAAGGGTGAATGAATACTCTGGGTGCAAAGTCAGGCCAGACCGAGGGCTCCTGCCCAAGCAGGGCCACAAGGTTGAATGCTGGTACCTGGCAAGTGAGCCTGGCCATGGGCACTCTGCCTTCTTTGAGAAAAGAGATGGGAGCAGCCATCACAGGGCCCAAGCACAGCTTTCCTGGGCCTCTTTTTTGGAGTGGGCTCTTTGGTGGTTGGAAAGTGACCTTGCACCCTGGGGACCCCCGTGTTAAATACCAGATAAATGTTTTACTAACCTGAAGGGATACCATGTGGATCTTTTTCAGAAATTTGCTGGGGTATCAATGGGTCCTCTGTGTTGCATTGTCTGTGTCTGGGGGTGATCTGTGGCATCATGGACAGATAATGTATGAAAAGCAAGATCAGTGTAAGATGTGTGTGTGTGTGTGTGTGTGTGTGTGTGTGTGTGTAATCAGTACGGGTCTGCACTGTGTCCATTTGTGAGGGCCAGGTTAGCAACAGGGTCAAGGGCAGAACTCAGTCTGCACAGCCAAGCCCCAAAGAGCTTCTGCCTTAGCCCTTCTGCCATAAAACCTCACTGGCTTCCCAGCTCAGGCCTGTGCGACGCATCCAGCCAGCTGGCTAAAGTAATTAAACATCTGAGAAGGACCCAGTCTGAATTTGAGGTCAGAGGGGACTCACCTCAGAAGTTCTGGAATTTTCGCTAGTTTTATTTGTGTTTTCACTCTAGGCCGTGGACTTCTAGATGAAGGTGTTAGGATGCTTTGTAAATCCTAGTTCTTGAAATATAAGGACATAAAGCACAGAAATTTAGCAGACATAGATTTTGCTTTGAATCATTTGCTGTGTCTTCTTAAGGTCACACCTGCCCATTCACAAGTATACAATATATTTTCTTGGGGCACAGCCATGCATGAATTTCTCCCCAGATCTATATATTAGCAAACTCTTGTCTTTGATCTCTTGTCAAACCTCCTGACTAGATAAAAAAAAGCCCCTCTGTGATCTTCCTGTTTTTAAAATATTTATTATTAATACAAAAAACAACATGGGTATTTGAAGTAGGAATGGTCTTCCCTCAGTTCCTCTCATTCCACCATCCCCTCCATTTGCTTGCCTCTGGTTAGTTGATATAGTATAATCATCTGTCTTAAAATATTTTTAGACAAACAAGAAGGGCCTTGGTTGGTGTGAAATCAGCACAGATTTTGAGATACCATCATTGTGTGGCACTGCCTTTTTTTTCCTCCCTTGGTCCTGCCACAGAAAGCCTGTCCCACCCCCACCTCCAGACCCTCCTCACACCCCACTCCCTGAGCAGCAGGAGCGGCCCCCAACCCAGTCTTGTGTCTGATCCCTGAAGATGTCTGCTTTCCAAAGCCTGGAGTAACTGAGCCATATTCCTCCTGATTAGTATACAGCTTACAGAGATGTGACCAATTTTCAATTACTTGATCTAAGGCACAGATAGAAGTGTACACTCTCACGGAGGATTTGCTGCAGAGTCCTTGCTTGCATAGATAGTGGATCTCAAATCCTGTATTGCTAAAGCATGGGTTTGATCTGATTCTAGGCAGTTCCTTACCCCCTGCTCACATGTGTGCTCACTACACAATCTCCGTTCTCCTTGAGCTTTCTGACTGGGGTCATTTGGATTTGAGAGGAGATTCCAAGAAACCGTTAAGAGCTGCCCCTGAGCTGTGTATATCTTCAGGGGCCCTGAACACCCTGAAATCGGGGGCAAAGGGGGCCACAAAAGTCTTCCCTTTAATGAGTACAGCCAGAAAGATGCTCCCCTGCAGGCAGGCGAGGACAGGTTGCTCTACACAGCAAACATGGCTCCAGTATCGTACATTATTTAATCCAAAGGTAGAGAAAAACAAAGGGACTAGAGGAGTTGCTGCTTCTGCGTGTGTGTGTGTGTGTGTGTGTGTGTGTATGTGTGTGTGTGTGTATCTCCAGCTCCCCTAGGCCAGGCGGGGGCTTGTTTTATTTTTATTTGTTCAGGAGCTGGGGGCAGGGGACATGAAAGGAGTGGGAAATTTTTCTCCCTCCCCGCTTCCTATTTCTTCGTTTTCCTTTTCTCCTTGAAATAAAAATGGTGAGCATGCTGTCTGTGGCCCTGCTGCTCGCTGGCTTAACTGTGTGCCCTTTTCCCTGTCTCTTCCTCCTGTGGCTGCCCGGGCAGATGCCTGTGGCCTGTCGGACGCCGCCCACATCGAGAGCCTGCAGGAGAAGTCCCAGTGTGCGCTGGAGGAGTACGTGAGGAGCCAGTACCCCAACCAGCCCAGCCGCTTTGGCAAACTGCTGCTGCGACTGCCCTCGCTGCGCACCGTGTCCTCCTCGGTCATCGAGCAGCTCTTCTTCGTCCGTTTGGTAGGTAAAACCCCCATCGAAACTCTCATCCGAGATATGTTACTGTCTGGGAGCAGCTTCAACTGGCCTTACATGTCCATCCAGTGCTCCTAGGCCTCGGCTGGTTGCGCCCCGCCCCTGCCCCTGCCCTAGAGACTGAGTGACCCCCGGAGGGCCAAGAACTCCAAAGCCTTGGGGACTCTGGGTGCTGAGGGCCAGGCAGGCCAGGTGGTGGGGGGAGGCTGGGGACAGGAGCGGCCCACCCTGCAGCAGCCCCTCTGAGCACGCTGAGCTGCAAACCAGGAGCAAAAGACTGTTTTAGGGTCAGATCTGTGAGCATGGTGACAAGGAGAGAAAAAGATCTTGTGTCTAGTGAGAAAATGAAAAAAAAATTTTTTTTGGAAGAGAGGACCATGAGAATTTTAATAAAACAGAAGGAAACTAATGGACCTTCCAGGATTTATTGTGGATGGCTGTGGATATAATTCTGTACAGAAAACAACACATATGGAAGTGGACTGAATCCTATGTAGAAACACACACTGAACATTGTTATTCATTTTGTAAAATACTAGTCTTTATTTTCATTTTTTTGTAAAATTTAAACATCGTATGCGCATAAAAAAGGAAACAAGAATTAGGGGAAAATAACATTTTCCAAATAATTATAAAAATTGTCCTGTGTCTATGTATCTATATCTGTTTTGTATTTTTTTCTGGTTCCAAACCAGATTTCCTGTGATTCTATACTAATAATTTTTGATATAACCCTTTGCTTCTTATAATGAGTGCGATATATGTTGTCGAGGCTGTTCTTCAAGAATTAAAATTGAAGTGAAAATTTAAACAAAAATAAAAGAATTTAGCAAAACTCACGTGTCTTGTTGCTTGACTAATGTCATTAGTGCAAGAGAAACCTGCTTAATCTCCACATTAACTATTACTGGAATTGGAGTATGGGGGGAGGCTCTTAAAGTCCAGTAACCAAGTTGGCAATAGTCATTTCCTGCAAGTAGCCGCTGCCTTGGTTTTGTAAATGCGGAAGGCCAGGCTGCGCTGGGTCTGCAGGCAGGGCAGGGCACCTGAGTCGCAGACAAAAGCCCTGTACGCAGCTGGGCAGGAGGCTCGGAGGCTGGGGCAAGCTGGGTCGCAGGCGGCCGAATTTCCAAGCGCCAGGCCTGGGTCTGCTTTACTTGACGGGAGGGCAGCCCCAGGGCCTGACTGCAGGTGGCAGTTTGCTGAGCTGGCAAAGTATTGGAGAGGTGCGAGGTCAAGGCCTTACGCTGGGGGAGCGGGAAGAAAAGGTCCTGGGCAACCGAGGTTCAGGGAGCTGGTGGGGCTCCTCTCCCCGCTGGTCGGAAGTGGAGCTGGGGGGGTTCAGCACTCCGAGGTCTGATTCTGTCCCTCATCAAGGTCCCCCAAGATCCAGCTTCGATTTGCCCTTCCCTCCAGATCCCCTCACAGGGGTTCCCAGGAGGGTTCCGGCGCCCTGGTGGGCAGACACAAGGCATCCTGCCGCTTCCGCTGTGGCACTTAGCGGGGTGGACCCGGAACCCAGGAGCGGGAGTTGGAGGAGCAGAGGAGCCAGAGCCGGTCCTCCGCAGGAACGGCATTTGCGTCCTCTCGGCCCTTGCAGGGCAGAAACCTCCCCTGGAGGCCTTTGGGTGGGTGTGCGTGGGGGGCAGCTCTCTGTAACAGCTTTCAGAGCGTGAATGTTTTATAGGATCTGAGCCGGAGCTGTGAGAACACATACTGCCAAGGGAGCTCTTTCTTAACGTATTAATAAAGCCAGATCTTTTAAAAATAACACCTCACCCCTCCCCCTCCCTCCAGCCCCAGACAGTCCCGGATGAGGCAAAAGCTTCACTCTCAGAAGTCATTGGCAATGTTGTGCTTTCCATTTGCCATCTAGAAGTCTCCAGATCCTCGCCCTCCAACATGCATTAGCAAGCTCCTACACTCCATCCAACTGGCTTGGGGCTTTTGATATTCTAGACGCAGCCCAGCATGGGCAGTGCCCAGCAGACCCAAGATAAGGAGCCAGGATGGCCAGACCCACACGGGGTGGACCCCCTGCACGGTCCTCATTCTCCACACCAGGCCCGGGGATGTCTCTGGGCCGAACTTGACATTCCTGTAGATGGGACACCCTAAAAGGACAGGGGACACAGAGATCCGTTGGTTCCTCTCTGGCCACCTTCTCAGAGCTTGCTTGCGTGAGGAACCCTCCATCCTAGCCATGCTACTCCCCGAGTGTTGGGGTGCAGTGGGCTGCACTAGGGCACTCGCTAGGGGGAGGGGAGCAGCTCCCTCCCAGAGCTCGCCGATCTTTCTTGCCTTTCTGGAAATGAGATGTAAATATATTCATTACAGTGTGATCCCTCTGATGAAAACCGATAAACATTTTCATAGGTCGGAAATGTACTTTTCAATTAATTTCTATAGGGAGGCCCAATCACAAGGTGCCCAGTGTAGACACTGGCCTGAGAGCAAAGGCCACTGACACAGGAGCACTTGCTCCAATGTTCAGAGGTGAGAGCGCTCACTTGACTCCTGTTTGTGGATCCAGAGGGTGGCTCGTGGCCTGGGCAATCCCGGCCACTTTGGTAAGCTCTTCTGGGACCAATCCACCCAGCGAAGAGGGAGGGAGGCCTTCCTCTGACTTCACAGACTCCCTGGTGGGCTTTTGGAGGACCCTGAGGCTAGGACAAATAGAAAAACCAAAGAGGGGTCCTTTTGGAGACTGGGAGTAGGGTTCTCCTGTTGCCTCCTCAGTGGCTGGGTGCCCCCTCCCTGAGCCTGCACTATGCACAGAGACACCGTATTCCCAGAATCAGAGATCTCTGCCCATCTTAGCAGAGACAGGGCAGGCCCAGGGACCCAGGCTATGTGAGTCAGGAGGCTTTGCACATTCAGGACACAGAAAGAACTCAGGAATCTCCTCGTGCTAAGGGAAAGTTTAGGAATTTAGGAACCGAGAGGGCCGCTAAGCCTTTTGACACCTAGGAAGGGAGTGAGCTCTGGAGTCTGAAGGCTCCCTCCACCTCCCACCGGCCTCATCAGAACTCTGCCTCTGGGGCTGAGGATGGCAGCAGAGGTCCCTGGGAGGGCACAGGTCAGCCCTCAGGAGTGGCCAGCCTGCCCTGACTGCACATCCACAGCTTCCTCGGGCTCTGATCACTGCTGCTGCTCAGGACCTGCACAGGAAGCAAGGTGGGACAGGTGGGGACTTCCTCTGTCTGGGTGGCGGCCAGGAGACCCCTGAGCCTGCCTCCGAGCCAGGCACCAGGGGGAGCCATGGAACTCAGGTTGGAGGCTGCAGGCAGTGGAGGCCAGAGGGTCGCCTTTGCCTGGGTGGTGAAGCCCTGCTAGGCCTGGGCCTGCTCAGGCTGTCAGAGCTCTAAGGAGTTGGAGTAGAGCTACTGGAAAGAGGTAGAACCAATGGTTCCCAGGGCCAGAGAAAATACAGCTCACCAATTGGAGAGCAGCTCACCTAAGGCGACTTCACTCTCAAAATTACCTATGACCTTGGACAGTCTGTCCTTTATTTTAGCTGGAACACTTTCTGGACAGCTGAGAACTTTAAAGGCTTTGAAGTCAGTTTCAACTACCTTAGCCAGGAGCTTTGCTGCAAACATCTGAAAGGCCATCTCGGGAGCACGGTTCTCTGGGATAGTTAGGGAACCCGGCTGAGCCTTTCCGCCCCAGGGTATGAGGCCTGGCCTCTGGGAGGAGTGTGACCTTTGCCCCATCCCCCATCCTACCTAGTGTGTTACCAGACTGGGTAGAAGGAAGCCCAGAGGTGGGGTGTGGGTACCTCTGTGCATCCGGGCCTCTGTTCCTTGAGTTAGCCAAAGCTCAGCCTCTGACAACAGCAAAGGAACAGCTCTGGGAGGCCCAAGCATCCAGCTTCACTGGGTGAGCCAGGGAACTAGAGCCCAGACATTCAAAGCCCACCTGAGCTTGCCTCCTTGGAGTATGGAAGGAAAAAAAAAAAGTTTCTTTAAAAAAACAGTGTCTCTTCTTCCTGCACGCGTATCCTCGCACTCTTACAGTGGCTGAACGGTCTCCCATAATCTCCCCTATACCTTGGAACAAATCAGCTGCAAATAGGATACCAGGAGGAGCTAGGGTGGGGTGGGAGTGGAGGGGGCCGGGGAACTAATAAAACTCTTGTTAAAAGGCTTGCTTGGGATCTGTGGTGTCACTGGGCCCTTTCCTTGGGAAGCCAAAGAGTTGTATTCCTAAATGAGTTAAAGACCCATTTACCTCTGTCGTGTTCTATTCATCAGGCCACAAGTTGAGAGTTCCTAACATGAAACTATTTGTTTGCTTACACAACCAGCTGGGCGCAATTTCACGTCTGAGATATCTATCTGAAAGCGCCCCTCATTTATTATCTCTCCTTGTCAGCGAATCCATTTTCCAGGCCCTCTCCCCCCGCTGGAGTTTACTTATTTACTTATTTATTTATTTATCTCGGGGTGTGTGAGGGGCGTCTCTAGCCCAGAGGACCTGGGGCTGGGCTACTCCCCAGGGAACAGCGGCTCCTTGAGGGGGGGCGTCTGTCGCTTCCAGGACGAGCGAGCCAGGCAAGGCCACCGCTGACCCGGGCAGGCAGGCGGGCCTGGGCGTGGGGTGGGCGGCCGACATCCTTTCCTCCTCGGAGGTCTTCCCTGCTAGCACCCCTGGGTCAGATTCGACCACCTGTGCGAGGAGGAGGCGGTTGGCCTAGGGGGCCGGGAGGTGAACCCAAGAACCTTTCCCCAAGAGTGGGGCTCGAGACTCGGATTGGAGAGATGCTTTCACAGAACCTCACCTAGTCCCACGGGGCCAATTTCTTCTCCCCCGGCGGCCGGAGCGGCAGAGTGAGTAGCCAAGATGTAAATAGTTACGTGAGGGGCTGGGGGAGGGGGCCGCTCATTTATTGTGTGTGCGGAGGGGAGAAGGCTGCACGTGGTTTCAATTTTGAAGCACAAAGAAATAACATGCAATGCAGAAAATAGGTTTATGAATGTAATTGAGAGGAAAGAAAACAATTAGCACGGTGAAGGGTTGCACACTTGATTCCCCACCCTTCCCTCTCTCTTCTACCTCAATTTTGAAATTTTCTGGATTTTGTGAATAGGGTGGATCTAGGCAGGTGGATCCCGCTGACAAGAGAACCCCTGATGGGAGTCTCAGTGATAGCTAGATAATGGTATCTATCCATCTCCTGGACCACCAGGGCCTCTTCTGACCAAGCTGAAAGCTAGGGATCAAACCCCAAAGTCCAGCTTACAAAATACCCTCAATTGTCAGGAAGCAAATGCCTGCCTGCGAGGGGCAGAGGGAGAAAGACAGAGAGGTGGCGAGGGGGTTCTTTAAGAAGACTAGCCTGGTCCCTGCAAGCTATCCTATTGTGTTGATTTAGGAAGACATTTGCTGTATATAACGTTTAAGGCTGATAATATCATTGCGCAGCCAGATAAATAAAGCGTTGGCCCAATGGTGGGGTCAGCGATCGATCTTGGGCTCAGAGGAAAAAGGAGAGAGACAGGGTCGCGCAGGAGGCTCGCCCGTGTGCTTGTCAGTCGGCGGCGTGCTGTAGCAGGAGCCCGAGTGTGTGAGCGTCGGGGTG